CTCCTGATAACCTTCTTTTCCTCCACTTGCTTGTTGATGACCTCCAGGATAAGCTGCTCCATCACCTTTCCCGGGATGGAGGTGAGGCTGACCGGCCTGTAGTTCCCTGGGTCCTCCTTCTTGCCCTCGAGCAATCGAGCGGAATTCAGCCAAGCATCGCGCAGAAGAGAGAAGTTTTCCAGCTATGGCCGGAGCACGGTTGGAGCCACTTGCTGCAGTCTGCTGGTCCTCCTGGCTGGCCGAGCTCCTCACAGCCACTGCCTGACCATCCTGCAAGTGCAAACTTCGCTGAACAGCAGAGGTTTATCATCAGATAAAAGATCTCGAGATAAGCAAAGCAGCACCCGGGCTTCAAAAGCGACGAGCGTTACGAAAGCAGCATCTTCGGGAAGAGAAACGCGGGGTGGTCTCAAATTCCGCCTCGCTCAGGAACAAGCAGGGACAGGGTCTTCACAGTTCAATTTGAACTCTTTTTCCCCTTTAGCCCAGATTGAGAGATGCTGAACACAGATGAGCTGAATCTCGGCTGGAAGCTGGGGAGGGTTCACCCAGTGCCTGCGCTGGCCTGGGAGGAACGCCCAAACCCAGACGGCGTGAGAACACCTGGGGCATTTCTCTCTCGGAGAGCTGGAAGTTGCTGTTCTCTCAATGCCAAATAGTCCCCAAAACATAGAGCAGGCTGCCGAAAGCAGACACGTGCACCACGAGAGACCGACCTACACCACCCCCTGCTTGGCCTCAACACGCAGACTCCCTTCGCGTTACAGAGAACGCGAGCGAGAAGCACAAAGACAGATGAGAAACTAACACTGACGTCTCCCTTAAAATCCCCGACTCCTTCCGTACAATACAGACAAGGATTTCATGGTCACCGCTTCCTGCCTTTCAGCAAAATTAAAAATACATGTATCCAGCCGCTCCGGCGCTCGCTGGCCTGAAGCAGGGGGCTGGTCCTTCCCACCGGCAGCGCGGCGGCGTGAGGCCTGGCTTCCTCGGCTCTGCAGAGCTTCACGAACCCACCTGCCCTTCCTTCCACCCCCCCGACCTGCTCCTTCCCCCTCCTGGTCTCCTCTCCCAGGCTCCAGATTTTTTTTCCTGCTTCCAGCTTGATTCGCTTCCATCTCCAGCTCCTCGACTGTTGCACCTTCTCGGTGGCTTCCAAGCAGCCCCACGTTTCGGTTTTCAGAAGCGACCTGTCCAACACAACCTCAACCCCGGGCCAAAGAGCGAGCGCTGGGCTACGTCTGCAATGCGTGGAGCCGAGTCCCCCGCACGGAGAAACAACCCCCGCACAAGAATCAGCCATTTCGGGTGGAGGAACTGGGGAAGAGTAACTTTCTAGAGACAGCTTAGCAGAACAAACCATCCTCCAGCTGAACAGCCCGAGGCCAGCCAGGAAAAGACCGGCCCGTAAAATCATTTTCAAACGAAAAGTCATTTTCAAGAAGAATTCTTGACCAGATTCAGATCAGCCGCGGCTTTCCAGCTGAGCCAGACCCTGAGAACCAAATTCCGTTCTCATTTCCATCAGCGCAAAGCTCAAAGCCTAACGAAACATTTGATGTTCACCCTGATGGAAATGAGAGCAGAATTTGGCCCGAAACATCCCGATTTCCCTACTGACTTTATTACAGGGTGAGTGTTAGGCAGGAGTTCGGGTTTCTTTTGAAGTTCTTTCGTGGCGAGGAGAGCGAGTGGCAGAGATCTCGTTCGGCGAGTCTCCTCTGCCCCAACTACGCACCCGGTGCCGGATGAAAGAGCCACGGAGAAGCCGCCGCAGCCCGGCAATGCGCAGCTGCAGCAGCCACACAAACGTTATGGAGCTTGCAGCCATTTAAATTGGAAAGATACCGCTAGAAGCCTAACCCTGGGTGCTTCACATGTCAGCAGCTCAGAGGTTTTTAATCCACCAGCTGAAGGAGTTGTAAAGATGAAAATTTGAAACCGTGACTGCAGACTCGCCCAGGAGGCAGCTGGAAAACAACAGCACAGAGCAAGCGATCAGCAGCGTCATTGGATGAAGAGAAGAAGAGCTAAATGCAGAATTGAGCAAGGTAAAACCCCCTCCTTGAACACCCCTTCACCCACAGTTCCACTCTAGCAGACGACTCCATCAGACACCACCAGGAATGGAATGAATAAACAACGGCCAACAAACTGAATGAGTTACACTGGAATTGCTGAATGGCAGCGGGAGAAAAGAGAGATGACAGAGCGTTGGAAGGAAACGAAGGAGCCAAACCTCAAATGAAGACATCAGGAAGGTAAGAAAGCACATGGCACTCTACTCGTCCTTCCCTGGGACATGCGCAGGGCTGCTTAATGAGCCCCACAGACCGTCCCCACCGGTGGCATTTCGGCTGCAGTCGTTTGCCCGATGTATCTGTAATCCCCCCCGCCGTCCCCCCTAATGGGTCACACTTCTTCTACAACCGAGTAGCAACAAGCCAGAAGAATTTCAGCCTGGAACAGTAACACTGTACTCTGCATGTTTACAGTGCTTTTCCTATTTAAACTTCTATCTCCTTACCCAGTTGTTCTTCATAACAATCTCATCTGCATTGGCTTCTGCGATTCCTTCGTTCCACAAAGCTACAAATAAAGACAAAGATTCCGCAGCCTGCCCAAGGCTACAGAGGAACAAATGAAAGAACCAAACTACAATTTCCAGCTCCGTGCCTGCACTAGAGGACTGCAGACCCTTCCCCAGCCAGAAGCCCAAGGTCTGGTGTCCACCTGCTGAGCATCCCTTCTGCTGGTGGAACCCAGGAGCAAGGCTTTCTCCATGGTCACACACTACTTCCAATGCAACTTCACAGAATCCCAGCGTGGTCGGGGTTGGCAGGGCCCTCTGTGGGTCACCCAGCCCAACCCCCTGCCCAAGCAGGGTCACCCAGAGCAGGGGGCACAGCACCGCGGCCAGGCGGGGCTGGAATATCTCCAGAGAAGGAGACTCCACAGCCTCCCTGGGCAGCCTGGGCCAGGGCTCTGGCACCCTCAGAGGGAAGAAGTTCTTCCACTCCACAGCTGGGGAAGCCTTGCCAGCCGCCGTGCCGTTCCCATCACCTCTGCCCTCCGGGAGCTCTACAAGACAGCTCACACCTAGGACAGGTCCGGTCTTGCAAAGCTGAGGTTGCTACAACAGGCCCACGCTGGAGATTGCTTCAAATCTTCTGCTCTGGCTAACGACGAGCGGCTCAGAAGTACAGTTATTTGTCCGTGACATGCAAATATTTACAGTGGATGCAATTGCCAAAACACAAAAGGTGAAAAACATTATCAGCTCGGCTTGTTGATCATCTGCATTAACCCACTGACGGCAGCCATGGCATTAAGGAAGGACACGCTACTTGTTTACACACAGTCCAGCTAGGACTCACCACGCCTCAACAATTTTTGAGCTGGTAAGTCTAGATACACTTTTTTCTCTTGATAATAAATCCACACCTATATCCAATATTCAAAATAAAGCAGGACAGCAGCTTTCTAGGACTTGATTCCCACACTAGTGCTTCTGAACCTTCACACAATGTTCTCAAATCCCATTAATGGATGCAAACATGTGATATGCCTGAACACACACACCTACCAGTCGTAGAATTACTCCAATAGTTTGGGTGGGAAGGGGCCTTTCAAGGTCATCTAGGCCAACCCCCCTGCAGTGCCGGTTTGCCCCACTCGAGCCTCCTGGAATACTTGTATTCATTTCAGCAGTCAGTGACTTGATTTTGATCGATCAAATCAAAATCTCACAGAGACCTGATTTTGTAATTTCTTCTCAGATAAAATTCCTACTGATAGTAAAACCAGGCGCTTTGCGTTTCAAGGGCTTGTGTAAACGGCTCTGAAAACGGGAGATCCAACACCCCGTTCCTGGTTGCTTTATCTAAGAACGTACAAAAGTGTTCAAAGACAGAAGACCTGGAGTAAAGCTCTCAAGATCTCCACCACTTCGGAGCCACGGCTCGACTGCCCAAAAGGTGAAGGGAGCAATTCACAGCCTGGGTTCATCTTGTTGGGATTACGGCTCTCTTAAAGAAAAGCGCGCAAAATGATGGCGTCCACACCACTGTCTGGTTCTTTGCAGCTCAACGCGGCGTACGGAAAATCCACAGTTTAAGGGCAATCCCCACTCTCAGCAATTCAGCTGAATGGGAAAGCTCCAGCCAACGCCATGTAAGAGAACTACTGACACACACACCAAGTTCTAATCAAGCAGAGTAACGTACCTCCTTGAAGTTATCGAACGCGGAGAGGATGATCTCGTGCCCTCCTCTGACGAGGCAAACAGCTGCTAGAAGCTCCAAGACGAGGGCCTTTGTCCTGCGAAGCAGAGAAACCGCAACAGTCAGCGAGCACCACGTGCTGATCCACCTTCTTTCCACCTGCTTGCAAAGGGATGTGGAAACCTGGGAGACGTAGCTGGCACCCCGTGTAATTTTAACCCCGTGAAACCAGTAAACCTCTGGGATGGACAACGCTGAGCATCACCTGATCCAGGGCATTCTGACTCTCCCGGGATCATGCAGTTTTCCCCCCCATTTTAACACTTCTCAAAACATGCAAAAACGCAAACCTCACACTGTGCTCGTGGCAACCCAAGCAAACCGACGGCCGCTGCCTGGCTCTGGTAGAGGCAGACCCCGGCAGCT